GCTCTGGAGCGATGTATCCCGATCTTAGCCCTGTTTTGAAAGGGGGGGTTACGACATTTGCTGCATGCAGCTGGTTTCGGCCTCACCGAGGGGCCCATTCCTCGGTACATGGCTGCTTCCGGCGCCGGGCGGCGCTGGGACAATCGGCTACGTGAGCTGATTCTGAACCCCCCCTGTGCTATCCCCCCCTTTCGCCCGACCCGACTGACGGATGGTGCGGGACTGGAAAATGACCACAGCCACTGCTTCTTGTTTGCGCCACCTTCCAGCCGGCCGAAAAAGACTCAGTGGTTGTGGTCGTTTCCCGGGTGCCAAGCTTAACGAAAATGACCACAGCCACTGCTTTGTTTCTGCTGGCTGGAAGGCGGCAACAAAAGAAAAGCAGTGGCTGTGGTCGTTTTCACGCCCCGTAGATGGGGGCCTCGGGAAGGAGCGGGATCCAAGGGTGGATGCACGCTGCTTGAGAGGCACCCCGTCCTCGGGACCCCAGCCTCCAGGACCCCGTCTGCGAGCCACCGGAGATTTACTCCGGCGTCAACCGCGCGGTGGTGGTGCCCTATCGACCGTGCTTCCTGAGGTGGGGCGCCGGCAGGTGGGCACGCCGACGGCATCCACTTGCATGGGCGCGGCGGCGCCCCCAACCCGCGCCCATCTCGCCCCGCCGCGCGCGGTGCGTGTCGAGCTGGGGATGGGTCGGAGACTCGGTTGCACCAGGGTGCGCGCGGCTGCGCCAGACTACATACGGTCGACCCCCATGAGAAGCATGCACGACAAGGATGCAGGGGCCTTGGAAGGCCGCTCCGAAGCTTCTCGAGCGGAGCGCGGCCAGCCAGAGTCGCCAGGGATGGACCGAGGCAAGGCTGCAAGGGGTACCGCTGGGAAGGTTGCCCAGCCTCACTGCGCGGGCTGACTGTACCCTGGCCCGCTTGCGTGGTGGCGCAGTTGGCTTCCACGGCACCCCCGCTGAGGCATCCCATCGCCAGCGCAGACGTAATTACCCTGTCCATCCGCCGACGCCAAACAAGACTGTACCCTGGCCAACGCCCCCGGTCCTTCGAGGGGCCCCTCGGCCTCTCGCGGCGTTAGCGTGTAGATCTGGCTCGCTGGCCCGAGTGCCTCGAGTCCCCCCTCGAGGTTTTTGGGGGGCGACATGTTTGGGACCTTGGCAGCATGCAGCTGTTTCTTGCTTCTGGCGCTGTCTATGCGAAGGCCCCCGGTCGTTTTGCGCGCGTCGCTGTCCGACGCGTCCGCCACCGGCCGCGCGGCGGGCAGGCCGCGCGCCCGCCGCGCCGACATGCGCTCGGCATCGCTCGGACGTGTGCATTTTTCCTTCGGCGAGGGCCATCGAGGAGCACCCCTGATCATCTGGCGAAAAAGCCACGCGCGAAACCAAAAAAAACACGCGGAATGGACGTCCGCGCGATGGCCAGTGCGCGCCCGCCGCGCCGCGAGGGCGCGCAGGTCGGGGCGCGCGGCGCTCGCGCGCGGGGGCCGCGGCGCGCACGGCGGCGGCAGAGGGGCGGGCGCCACCTTTTGTTTTTTTTGGCGGAGCCGACCGTTCGGCTTCCACGTGGATTGACATGACGAGATCTAAAGGCCGCAGAACCAGAAACGAGAGACACTAAGCACGAAGAACAGCAGCAAGACACGCAGACAAGCAGAACACCGCCCCAGGACTACCGGGGCCGACCCACACGCCGACCAGCCGACTCCGGCTGGCGGCTCCGCCCCTCCCCTCTCCTCCTCTCGCCTCCTCTCTCCTCATCCTCCTCATCCTCCCTCCTCCTCCTCCCTCCTCTCCTCCTCCCTCACCTCCTCCCCCACCCTTCCCCCCCCCCTCCCCCTCCCCCTCTCCCCTACACCTCCGCTTCCTCCTCCTCCTCCTCCTTCCTCCTCCCTCTCCCTTCCTCCTCCTCTCGTGCTCTTCCTCCCCCGCCTCTGTCCTACTGCCTCTCCCCTGTTCCTCCTTCCTTCCCTCCTTTCCCCCTACTCCTCCTCCTCCTCCTCCTCTCTCTCCTCTCCCTCCTCCCTCCTCCTCTCCTCCTCCTCCGCCTCCTCCGCCTCCTCCTTCCTTCTCCTCATCCTCCTCAATCCTCCTCCTCCTCCTCCTCCTCCTCCTTTTCCTGCTCCTCCATGTCCCAGTCCTCGCGGCCGCCGCTCTCTTCTCTTCCTCCTTCCTCAGGGGCGACGATAAGGGGGGGATAGGCATAGGGGGGGATGCATCAACCCCCAATCGCCCATGGATCGCCGATAGGGGCCCGATAGCCCCAACCTGCCCAGGAGCGTGCGGATTCACTATGGAGGCCTATCGCCGATCAATCGGCGATGCATTGCCGGTTCCAGGTCGGCGTTTCCCCCTTGATGCCAGTCCCCCCTGATCGTTGCCCCTCATCACCCCCCTTCCCCTCTTGAGCCTGCTGGAATGTCTGTCGCTTCGCGTATCCCCACCAGCTGTTCTTCCTGGTCTACCGCGTCTCCTGAGCCGCAGCGTAGCTCGCCTCCAGTGTGTTCCTTCTTCGCTTCTTCCTCCGCGTTGTTCCTCTTTCCTCGTCAGCCGCGGAATTCGGACGGCGCCCGGCCTCCCGGTGCGCTTGCGATCAAAGATCCCCACAAGCCCATGCAAAACCAGCGCCCAGGCGAGTTGAGACGATCATGAAAGCGTAGGAGCAACATGGGGGAACAGTCGTTATCGTTCGACGGAGGAGGAGGAGGAGGAGGAGGAGGAGGAGGAGGAGGAGGAGGAGGAGGCGGAGGCGGAGGCGGGAGGCGGAGGAGGAGGGATGGAGGCGGAGGCGGAGGAGGAGGAGGAGGAGAAGAAGGAGGAGGAGCAGGAGGAGCGGAGGAGGGGAGGAGGCGGAGGAGGCGGAGGAGGCGGTGAGGCGGAGGAGGCGGGGTGGCGGAGGAGGCGGAGGGGAGGCGGAGGCGGAGGCGGAGGCGGAGGCGGAGGCGGAGGAGGTGGAGGAGGAGGAGGAGGAGAGGAGGAGGAGGAAAAGAGGAAGAGGAAGTGGAAGAGAAGAGGATGAGGAAGAGGAAGGGTCGGGGTGGGTTGGGTGGGTGGGTGGGTGGGTGGGTGGATGGATGGATGGATGGATGGATGGATGGATGGATGGAGGAGAAGGATGATACATTTCCGGGTGAGGAGGAGCAGGAGGAGGAGGACAATGAGGAGGAAGAGGAGGAGGAGGAGCCGGTGCAGTTCTGCGCCCTTGCGGGGGCTCGCAAGCCGCGGACTGCGCATGGCATCGTGTACCCACAGCCCCCACAGCTGCGGTCTCCGTCTCGTATCAAGCTCGCACGGTCGGGACCTGGACAGCGAGAACGCCGCCGAGGACCTTCTCGAGGCGGGTCCAAGCCGTGCTCACTGGGCCGGGCCGCGCCTCCTTGGATGGCCCCGCGCAGCAGTTGAGATCATCGCGGGGGGGACGGGGAGGGAGGGCGTGGGGGCTGGCGCGTGCGCAGGGTGTCAGCACAGTTGTGCGGATTTTTCTGTTACGGGAGCGGGGCGAGAGCAAAGGGAAAACGCCCCCTCCGACACGGGGACGGGGCGGGAGGAACAGGAGCGGAGGGGAGGAATAAGAGGAGGAGGAGGATATTTGAGGAGGAGGAGGAGGAGGAGGAGGAGGGGAGGAGGTAGGAGGAGGTGGAGGAGGAGGAGGAGGAGGGAGAGGGGGGGGGGAGGGGGGGAGGGGGAGGGGTGAGGGGGAGGGGGAGGGGGAGGGGGGGGGGGAGCAGGAGCAGGAGCAGGAGCAGGAGCAGGAGCAGGAGCAGGAGCAGGAGGAGGAGGAGGAGGAGGAGGATAGGAGGGAGGTGAGGAGGAGGGAGGAGGAGGAGGAGGGGGAGGCGGAGGGAGGGAGGGGAGGGAGGAGGGGGAGGGGAGGAGGGGGATGGGGGGGGGGGGGAGGCACGGAGGGGCTGGGGGAGGGGGAGGGGGAGGCACGAGGGGGAGGGGGAGGGGGGAGGGGAGGGAAGTGACAGGGGGGTGGGGAGCGGGAGGGGGAGGAGGCGGTGGAGGAGGAGGATGAGGAGGAGGAGGCGGAGGAGCGGGAGGAGGAGGACGATGACGACCGCGACATGTCCAGGAAACTCATGCCGCATGAGGCAGGCGCCCTCGCGCCCCAGGCGCTCCACCGAGCAGAGCAACCGCGAGCGAGCAACCTCAAACAGCGATTGCCTGGCCCGGTGGCCTGGCGAAGGGGGTCCCGCGCATGCTGGCTGGTGGCTGCAACAGGGGCGGGAAGCCCATGGCAGGGGGTCCCGCCGCCCACGTCGTCGACGAAGTTTTCCGGCGGATCTGCAGCGCACGCCCCTGGGCGATCCGCCTTGCTCGCCTCCGCCTGGGCTGGGCGCGAGGGCGACCGCGCCCACACCTCAGGGGCGACGAGAAGGGGGGGGATAGGCATAGGGGGGGATGCATCGACCCCCAATCGCCCAATGATCGCCGATAGGGGCCCGATAGCCCCAACCTGCCCAGGAAGGTGCGGACTCACTATCAGAGGCCTATCGCCGATCTATCGGCGATGTATCGCCGATTCCAGGTCGATGCATCCCCCCCTGTGCCGGTCCCCCCTATCGTTGCCCCCCAACACCCACAAAAGGCAACACGTGCATAAGCGAGCGGCGGGGACACGTGTGCGTATACGACATTCAGCCACCCCAGGGTCAGGATGGTAGGAGAAGCATGGCACGAAGTGGCCGGGTGAGAACGAGCGGTTCGACTTTTCCCGCCCTTTCCTTCATCTCCCTCTTTGTATTCCCCCTCCGCATCCTCCATCCTGCTCGTCCTCTGAGAAGTCGATTCCCTCCTTCGCCATCGTACCGTACCCTCCTCCTGCCTTCGCTCTCCTCATCGCCCTCCCTCGTCGTCGTCCCACTTCCATCTCTTTCATAACATCCTTTTCCGTGCCATTCTGATAGTTGGCAAGCACGACAGTTGTCCCGCAGCAGCTGTGCATCTGGTTTCTGACGTGGAGGAAGAACATACGGGTGCCCCCCATTCGCAGGCTGATCAAGGCTACTTCGTCGCTTCGGTCCAGGCTGCAGGCCTCGTGGGCAGGGGCACGACAGGATCATGTGCACTGCGAATAGGTGTTCCAGTATCTGGGAGCCCGCGAGCTGCAATGCAAGAGCAACGTACATGGCTCAAGGGGCCCAAGGACACACAAATCAATACACACAAATAACATGATTCCCCATATTTTCCAATATTTTCTGGGTTTTTGTCTTCCCGCCCCATTCCCATATTTCCCCACATTTTCCTGGGAGTCGACGATTAATTGTGTCTGTGTTTTTTTTTTCCTCCTGAATGGCATGCAGGCGCTGCCCAGCATCCACTGCCCAGGACTCTGGACAAGCGTAGGGGGGGGCCCTGACGTCGGGGCTGCGGGGCACGAGCGTCCACGCAGAGTCGCCCGCCGCCGGCGCCCGCAGCGCGCTCTTCTGAGCAGCCGCCAGCCCGCCGCGGGCGCCGATCTGTGTACTGCACAACTAAGGAGGGGAAACAACACACAGACACAATTCATCGGCGATTCTCAAGAAAATATCGGAAAATGTGGGAGGTGGGGGGGAAGACAAGAACCCGGAAAATATGGGGAAATATGGGGGATCTTTTTTTGGTGTGTATTTATTTGTGTGTCCCAGGGCCCCTTCAACAAGGTGGGTCGCGCGGCGGGTCGTCGATTGGTCGCGTTGCCTGAGCGTCAGCGTAGAGAGCCGCGTCGAGTGCGGCGGTGCCTCTGTGAAGCACCATGTGTGGATCCCGGATGCGTCGCGGCCGTGTCGCAGGGAAGCCGCCGGGTGGGGCAACGGGTGGGTTGCGAGGCGGGTCGTTGGTGGGTCATGGGGTGGGTCGCGGGTGGGTCGAGGATGGGTCGCCGGGCGGATCGCGCGGGGGGGGGGGGCGTCCTCTTTCCGAGGCGGGGACTGCGCATAACCACCGCTTGGAGGATCGATCTCTGGGAACCTCGGCGGGCGGTTGACATGGATATGTTTGGGTTATGGGGGAGCCACAGATAGCCTCATCCACCGCCTGCCGAGGTTCCTGAAGAAAGCCCCTCCGGCGGTGGTTATTCGTAGCACTCGCGGAGGCCTCTCGAGGCCGACGTGAACTCTCGGAGCCCTCGTCGATCCATCCCGAAGCTCTCTCGGGGCTTCTCCCCCGGGCAGGCGCCGCCACGCCCGTGGGCGTCTTTGCAGTCGGTGGACCGCCCCGTTCGCTCGACCTTCACGGGGCCCCGAGGACCCGAGTGGACGTACGGTAGGTTTGTGTGTCGTGTCGACGCCGCGGCGGCCCCATCGTGGGCGTTCAAGTCTGTGCGCCGCCGCTTGCCCCGTGGCGAGAGCGGGTGGCAGATCGCGGTGGAAACCGGGAGAGGAAGGAAGCATCTGGGAGGGAGAGGGCGAGGAACACACAGCGGCAGCAGCGCGCCCGAGCTGCGCGTTCGAGACCTGGCGGGAATGGCCCTTGGGCCCCAGGCAGGTGCGCGCACCACACACTACACCTAGCCGCACCCACAAGCTTCTGAAGCTGGGTGCCGCGCCGCATTTTCCACTATTGCTGTCAGGATCCTGGTTCCAGTACCCCCTCGCGCCGTGAAAGAGTCCCCACGGAGAGTGTTTGATCATCTAGGGCCTCTGGGCAGGAGCCCGTTGCCGGGGCCTAGGGCAGGCAGGAAACGGGCCGGGACTCAGCCAGTCCCGAGGAAAGGTTCGAGACTCGGGCGTTGCGTAATGGCGGGGCGATGAGTGGGGGAGTGAAGAAAAAGGGGCTCCTCCTATGCCCTGAAGCGGCCCTGAAGGGCCTCCTCAGGGCCCGAAAGGGGCTCAAAAGGTGCACGTTCATCCCCCTCATTTATTGTCGCTCCCCCCTGGTCGTTGAAAGTCGGTATTGTTGGAGATCCCCGATCCCGATCTAATCTAGTTGCCTTCCTACTTCAATTATCGAGTACTCTTTTTCCTGCCACCTCACGGGGTGGGCGGGAGCCCGATCTACTTCCAACGCCTTCCTTCTTCACATTCTACCCACTTCTTCCGACCGACGGGCAAGTAACGCTCTAGGGACAGTACATGGACAGCATTTACGAACCCTCACACACTTGATGGGGATGTTCATCTCCCCCCTGCCCCCGAAATCAATGTTGATTTTTGCATGGGTGATGATTTAGGGGTTCGAATACCTTGTCCACCCAGGCCCTCTCCAGTGCCAAACCCTCAGTATTAATTTGGGGGATCCGGGGGGGGCATCTTGCAAGGGGCCACGTTGCGAGGGCATCACGACGTCGAGGCCAGGAGCGGCCTCACAGAACTCTGGCAGGCAGGCCCCTCCTGCGGGCGGTCGCGGGCAACGCCGCCTGCCCCACCAAACTCTCATCCCTGGAGCCTGGAGCCCCTCGGAGGACGAACGCCGCTGGCGCGCGAGGGGAAGCGCGCCCGCCCGAGGAGGCGCTGTTAGCCTGTGGGGAGGACGGAGTTTCCTTTCCAAGCCTGCGCCCACTCCCGTCTGCCCGCCCCCCTTGTCAGGGACGAGCTTCGCGGAGGATGGATTTTGTGAGGAGGATGGAGTTTCCTGCCCAAGAGCCTGCGAGGAGGATGGAGTTTCCTGTGAGGATGTGAGTGGGATGGAGCCGTGAGCCTGTGAGGAGGACGGAGTTTCCTGCCCAAGCCTGCGCCCGCTCCCGTCTGCCCGCCCCCCCTCTGTCGGGGACGGGCTTCGCGGTGGCGACCCCTTCCCTTGCGCCAAGACGTGGGCAGGCGACCGGAGGGAGGAGGAGGAGGAGGAGGGGGAGGAGGAGGAGGAGGAGGAGGAGGAGGAGGAGGAGGGTTGATGATGCGGCGTGCGGTTTCGCATTGTGCGTGCTCGTACAGGACACTGACCCAGCGGGTGGCGCTTGGGACCCCACGAGGATTCGCGACTTACGCTACCCCGAGGCTTAGTTGCCGAAAGTAGAAAGGTCTGGTCAGCGCCTCCCCGCGGCGTCGGAAAAGAAGAGGGAGCCCAATAGGGTGCCCCCTGCCGACCAGGGCGCAACCCTGGCATGCTCCTCCCGCGTGCGGGCGCGAGCAGCAGTGCGATTGGCCTGGATGCGGGCTTTCTGGGCCTCGCTCAAAGCCACTGGGGAGAGAGGAGAAGGAGGCACGGACGACGACGACGTCGAGGTCCGAGGAAGGGGGCGCCAAAATGGCCAAGAGAGGCCAGGAAGGCCTCGGCGTCGGCCTGAGCGGCCTCCTGGGAATCGATGTATTGCTGCTCGGCGTCAGCTTCGACCTCGTCAATGATATGAGGCGTGCCTGGAACTTCTGAATAGTCCTGGACAGGGCTATCCTGGTCGAGCTCGGGAAGGAATCGGTGCTTTGGGGGGTCTGACTGCTTGCCCAGTCGATTGGCAGCAACATGCCGGGGAACCCGAAACATACTGCCAGCATCCGAGCCGACGTCCATGGAACATCGATCTCCATGAGCTATTATTTAACGCCCTCACGCTCGCAAACGAAATCCATATCGTCACTGCCCTCGGGAAAGATGACTTTACCGAGGGAAGGACAATGCGAGCATTGGCCTTTCATAGACCTGCAGGATCTACGTCCTTGATGGCTGTCCTGCAAATGCAACGTTCCTTGCCTAAGAGAGTCTTGTGAGCTCCCTTGCCGTGCGGGCATCTGCCTCCTCCTGGGCGCTGGGCAGCAAGGAGGCAAGTTCTGGCATTCTGATGCCTACGATCCTGATTGGCGCGCGTCCTGTGTCCGACACGGCGGGCTTGTTCTCCCAGTGATCGCCCTGATCGAAGTCGGTGGAAGCAGAGGGGGGGGGAGGACACCGGGCCGACGAGCGGGGGCCACCCGAATGATGTGAGGGCCGTGGGAGCCTCGTGCAAAGGAGGACGGAGGGAGGAGGGAGGGAGGGCTCGCTCGGCAAGGAGGGAGGGGGAGGACGGAGGGGGGAGGACGAAGGGAGGAGGGAGGGAGGGGGAGGAGGGAGGAGGACGGAGGGAGGACGGAGGGAGGAGGGCCGTGGGAGCCTCATGCAAGGGAGGTTGCCCACGACTCGCTCGGCTCGATGCGTGCCGATGTCTGCACGTGGCGCCGATGGACTCGGCTTCGAACCCCGCAGGGGCGGCGTCTCTCCGCAGACGGGGTCCGAGTCGGTCGATGCAGCCGCGCGGGCGCTTCCGTTAAGCTGCGGTCAGCTTGGCATCGCTCGGACGTGTGCATTTTTCCTTCGGGGAGGACCATCGAGGAGCATCCTTGATCACTTGGCGAAAAAAACGCACGAACGCGAAAAAAGCACAGGGAATGGACGTCCGAGCGACGGCGAGGTCAAGGGCAGCCTGGGGACGGCCTGGGCCGGCGGAGCAGCAAGGGCAGGAGGGGCCGGAAGAGGAGAGGAGATGCGCCGAGAGGGAGGTGGAGGGAGGAGATGGAAGAGGAGGGGGAGTTATCCTCTCTAAGTCAAACAGTGGCGAAGCGTTCCGGCTCGCCTACAGCCTCACCAAACAATGTCCAAAGAACTTTTTGTGGCTCCCACGACATGTCCTTAGACTATTTCTGGCCGGGGTTGTCTGGTTTGAGCACATCGGGATTCTGTTCTCAGAACATTGTTTTTGTTTTTCGAACATCTTTGGGTTCTAAGAACATCTCGTGGTAGGACTATAGGAATGCCGGGACGGTCGGTCCCTGTTAAAAAGAGGAGGGGGGAGTTATCTTCTCGAAGGGAAAATTATGAACGGGGAGGTGAGAGACCAGAGTGAGGAGGACGCCAGGGACCAGGAGCAGGGTGGGGCGTGGCAGGAGGGGGGATCATAATGGTGAATATGAGAAGGATCATAATGATGATGCTGATGATTATGATGCTGATGCTGCTGCTGATGATGATTATGATGCTGATGATCACGATGCTGATGATGATGCTGATGCTGATGCTGATGCTGCTGATGATGATTATGATGATGATGATGATGATGATGATGGTGATGATGATGGTGGTGGTAGTGATGATGATGATGACGATGATGATGATTATGATGATGCTGATGATGATGATGATGATGATGATGATGAGGCGGCTGCTGCTGCTGCTGTTGATGATGATGGTGGTGGTGATGGTGAAAATGATGATGATGATGATGAGGAGGAGGGGGAGACGGATGAGGAGGAGGAGGAGGACCAGTTTAAACCCAACACTCATCAACGATGTTGCAACACACCCTCCAAGTTCCATCTTCACAGGTCTCTACAAGGACTTGTTTTCCTTGCGGGGAGTGCCCCGTTGGAAGACGACCGTTTGAAGATCTTGAGCCATGTCACCGCATCACTCCTTGGACACAAGCGTCGCGAATCAACGTTTCTGTTGCGTCCTGATGATCCTGAACCCTGCCAGAACAAAGCCAATGGAATTTCACCGCGCAAATCCACGTGACTGTCGCGTCCCAGCAACTTGAAATCGTGCCAGAGCACCATTTCTTGGGCGTTGCATGCAAGAATCCGTGCCACTGCTCAGAACCGTTAAGACGATTGTGCGCGGCGCTCAGGCGAGAGCCACATTCTGAAAAGGAACCCGTCTCCATCCGTCGATCCTGCAACATGTCGAGGCGAATGTGCGCGGCCCTGCGGCGAGGGCCGCAGTCTGAACAAAACACCCTTTCATCCGTGAAGCTCTTGCCTGGTTAGCGACGCATGCCCGCGGCGCGAAGGCGCGAGCGCCGCATGTTGAGAGCCACCCGCCCCCCCAGCCGCGCAGCGCCCGCGAGCTTTGAGGACGCGTGCGCGCGGCGCTGCCGAAGCGAGGGCCACGTTCCGGAGGACGGCCCGCCCGCCCTCCGCGAAGCGAAGGATTGCAAAAAAACGAAGGATTGCAAAAAACCCTTGGACGAAGGATTGCAAAAAAACCTTGGACGAAGGATTGCAAAAAACCCCTGTTTTTTTTGCAATCCTTGGTTTTTTTTGCAATCCTTCGTTGCGCACACTCTTTTGCGAGGACGGCACGCGGCGCTCTTAGGCGAGGGCCCACAGTTGGAGAACCACCCGCCCCCCGTCCGTGAAGCTGCTGCCAATGCGAAGCCTCGGGATGAGGATTGCGGAGCGAAGGTCTCGAGCATGAGAGAAGGATTGCTGAGGAAGCCTCAGGATGAGGATTGCTGAGAGAAGGATTGCTGAGGAAGCCTCAGGATGAGGATTGCGGAGAGAAGGTCTCGAGCCAATCGCCCGGCCGCCCTACCGACACGTCTCGGGCTTGCGACCGGGAGGAGTTACTTATAGGGATAAGGGTTATGTCGGGCCTGTCCCCCTCTTCAGGAGGATTTTCGACGAAAAATAAGTAAATACCCCAAAAATACCCCAACAAGGTCAAAACATACCCCAACAAAAACTCCCCAGACTATTTTTGGACTAGGTTTGGATTTTTTGGGGTATTGTTTATTTGTCGTCGAAAATTCCCCCTGTAGGGGGACACGCCCGACTTAAGAAGAGGGATGGAGAGCAGGAGCAGGAGGCGGGGCGGCGAGATCGTGCTGTTCCTGCTTCTCGGGCTGTGCACGTGGCTGGCCGCCCTGGACAAGCCCGTGTGGATCCCGGTCCGGACGCCCCGCGACAAGGGGAAGATGTTGGTTCCCCCCTTCCCCCTTCTTTCCTAAGTCTCTCCTCCTCTTCACTCTTCTTCCTCCCGCCTCGTCCTCCCTCCTCTTCCTCCCCCCCACGCGCGCATCCGCAGTAGGCGGCCGCGGGAGGGGGGCAGGAGGAAGAGGGGAAGGGAGGAGGAAAATAATGAACAGAAGGTACGAGGTGGAGGGGCATGTGTATGCAGGAAAAGGGGGCATTGGGAGGAGGAGTATGAGGACCTGCCAGGGGGCTCGTGAGGTTTTCTGTTTCCTATGGTTTCTTGAGTGCGTACGGATCCGGACCGAAGGATCGCGGCCACTCGCGGAGAAGAAGGAGGAGGTCAACCAATGGAAGGATAGGGAGCGGCGAGCAGGAGGAAGCAACGGGGGAAGGAGGGGCAGATTGAGGAGGACGCCGTGGCCGTGACGGAGGAGGAGGGGTAACGAGGAGGAGAAGACCGTTTGCGGGAAGCTCGTGTCCCCGCACGCGAGGGGGCGGACGGCCTCAGCCCGTTTGGCCGCGCCGCGGCCCAGCGGGCGCCAACAGCCATGATGGAACAGTCGTTTGTTGTTCTTCTCTCTCTCTCTCTCCCTCTCCTCTCTGGCGGGAGGGTCGGCGCGGAGGATGAGGAGGAGGAGGAGGAGGAGGAGGGGGGGGAGGCGGTGAGTAACGAGCGGCGGCTTGCGTCCGCGACGGCGGCCATGGAGAGCCGCGTGAGAGCCCAGCCCACCAGTTCGCGCAGGTCTTCCTCGTGGGGGTCGCGGTGCTTGGCGCGTTGATGCCACCCGCGGAGTCGCTGGCCGCGGCGGGCCCCCCCCTCTCCCCTGACGAACCAACAGCACGCGCGCGCACCCACAGGGCAGGGGATCAAACAATGGCATGAGCACAAACATCTGGAGGTCCGCGCGGACCTTTTCGATCGGCGGTGGGGTTCCCTGGCGGAGCCTCCAGCGCTCCAGCGCCGATCCGATCAGTCATCCGTGCTGAACTGTTTGAATGTTTATGTCCATGTCATGGCTTGTTCCCTTCTTGGGAAGGAGATTGGCTACAGGTATGCGTGCGGGTTGTCGGACCGCGGGGGGGGGGCTCCTTTCGAGCGGGGACCCCGTCTGTCAACGCAACAACGCGCACCCATAGCCCCTATCCGCCCCCTATGAATCTGGGTGTGTGCTGTTCTTCGTTCGTCGCCAGCCGCGCCCGAACGCCCCCATTGCTCGCCGTCGCCGTCGTCGCCGAGTCGGTGGCGACGCTGTCGTCGGCAGGTCGTCGTCGACAGATCGTCATCGTCGTGGCCGGCGCCTCCGTCGTGCGCCTCCTCATTCCCTCTCCGTCGGAGCCTTTTCGCCTCCGTCGAAGTTTTGTCGAAGGGCGCATGGACGGGATGGGGGAGCGGGAGGCGGGGATGAGCTGGGAAGGAAAGAGACGCGAGGCGCAGCGGAGAGACAACAAGTACCTAACACCACAGGAGTGTTTGGGTAGATATATCCAGGCAGCGCCTTCCGGACATGTATTGTTTGCCTCCCCCTCCTCCTCGTCATGTGTGTTTGGTGTTGACCTTCTGCATTCAGTAATTGTGAGGTTTGCGGTTGTGTATAGCTTCTGGCTTCACGTCATACAGTCAGTTCGGCGTACAGCTTCCCTTTTCCATGTAGTTCAACACTCGAGCGCGTTTTCACGAGTGTGTTTTCGCCCAGTGCGTTATTGTTTCGTGGTGTTGTTATACTGGCTCCTGGAGGCCGTGGTGCTCTGTGTGTGTTTGAGGTTCAGACTTCGTCCCATTGTGGCGGTCATGCTCATGCTCTCCTCTCTCCTTCTCCTCCTCCCTCCCCTCCTCCTCCTCCTCCTCCTCCTCCTCCTCCTCCTCCTCCTCCTCCTCCTCCTCCTCTTCCGTGTTGCTAATAGTTTGTGTGCTGTGCAGGTCTATATATATATATATATATCTCTCTCTCTCTCTCTCTCTCCCTCTCTCCCTCTGCATTGAAGTTTCGCAACCCAAAATACACAATGCACGTGTCATCATTCACTCTCCCCCGATACTGTGCTGTGTGGGGGCGCCCTCTTTCCGCATATTTCCACACGAAGGATACCAGACACTGTTTTTGTTTCGGCGCGTGTTCTTTTCCACTGGACCGTTTTCGGCCATTTCCGCTTCGGTGTTGGCCGCATTTCAGGGTCAGCGTTTCACCCTTGTCGTGCAGATTTGCGCTCTCGCCTCACCTCAGCGCGGGCCACATCTCCGGATCCGATTCGCTCCCCGTAGCTGCCGTCCCCCTCCGCTCCCCTCCGTTTTCCCCTGGCCCTCCTGCTGCTGCTGCTGCTCGTTTCTTCGTCCTGTGCGTCCTCCTGCTCATCCGCCACCTCCCCGCCAGACGTGTGAAGCCCACTTCTCTGACTGTGCATCACACGATGGGGCCACCCTTCGTGGGCCCCGGAAACGGCAGGGCCGTTTTTTCACAGTTTCCAAAATTATGCTAACGGAGTTCCCCACATAAAGAGATTAACGGTTTCTTGGGACACATTTTCTTGATGCCCTCCTCGCTCAGGCGGGGCCTCCCTGGAGGTGTGGGAGGGGCACGAAACCATGTAAATAGTATGGTTTTCGGATACCCTCCTCGCTCAGGCGGGGCCTCCCTGGAGGGTGGGAGGGGCACGAAACCATGTAAATAGTATGGTTTCCGATACCCTCCTCGCTCAGGCGGGGCCTCCCTGGAGGTGTGGGAGGGGCACGAAACCATGTAAATAGTATGGTTTTCCGATACCCTCCTCGCTCAGGCGGGGCCTCCCTGGAGGGGTGGGAGGGGCACGAAACCATGTAAATAGTATGGTTTGCCGATACCCTCCTCGCTCAGGCGGGGCCTCCCTGGAGGGTGGGAGGGGCACGAAACCATGTAAATAGTATGGTTTGCCGATACCCTCCTCGCTCAGAGGGGTGGGAGGGGCACGGGGCTCCTCGCTGGAGGGGTGGGAGGGGCACGAAACCATGTAAATAGTATGGTTTGCGATACCCTCCTCGCTCAGGCGGGGCCTCCCTGGAGGGGTGGGAGGCCGAAACCATGTAAATAGTATGGTTTGCCGATACCCTCCTCGCTCAGGCGGGGCCTCCCTGGAGGTGGGGAGGGGCACGAAACCATGTAAATAGTATGGTTTGCCGATACCCTCCTCGCTCAGGCGGGGCCTCCCTGGAGGGGTGGGAGGGGCACGAAACCATGTAAATAGTATGGTTTGCCGATACCCTCCTCGCTCAGGCGGGGCCTCCCTGGAGGGGTGGGAGGGGCACGAAACCATGTAAATAGTATGGTTTGCCGATACCCTCCTCGCTCAGGCGGGGCCTCCCTGGAGGTGTGGGAGGGGCACGAAACCATGTAAATAGTATGGTTTGCCGATACCCTCCTCGCTCAGGCGGGGCCTCCCTGGAGGGGTGGGAGGGGCACGAAACCATGTAAATAGTATGGTATTCCGATACCCTCCTCGCTCAGGCGGGGCCTCCCTGGAGGGTGGGAGGGGCACGAAACCATGTAAATAGTATGGTATTCCGATACCCTCCTCGCTCAGGCGGGGCCTCCCTGGAGGGGTGGGAGGGGCACGAAACCATGTAAATAGTATGGTATTCCGATACCCTCCTCGCTCAGGCGGGGCCTCCCTGGAGGGGTGGGAGGGGCACGAAACCATGTAAATAGTATGGTATTCCGATACCCTCCTCGCTCAGGCGGGGCCTCCCTGGAGGGGTGGGAGGGGCACGAAACCATGTAAATAGTATGGTTTCCGATACCCTCCTCGCTCAGGCGGGGCCTCCCTGGAGGGGTGGGAGGGGCACGAAACCATGTAAATAGTATGGTTTTCCGATACCCTCCTCGCTCAGGCGGGGCCTCCCTGGAGGGGTGGTTGGTAGATACCCTCCTCGGGCGAGGGTGGGAGGGGCACGAAACCATGTAAATAGTATGGTTTTCGGATACCCTCCTCGCTCAGGCGGGGCCTCCCTGGAGGTGTGGGAGGGGCACGAAACCATGTAAATAGTATGGTTTTCGGATACCCTCCTCGCTCAGGCGGGGCCTCCCTGGAGGGTGGGAGGGGCACGAAACCATGTAAATAGTATGGTTTTCCGATACCCTCCTCGCTCAGGCGGGGCCTCCCTGGGGGTGGGAGGGGCACGAAACCATGTAAATAGTATGGTTTTCGGATACCCTCCTCGCTCAGGGCGGGGCCTCCCTGGAGAGTGTGGGAGGGGCACGAAACCATGTAAATAGTATGGTTTTGCCTCCCTGGAGAGGTGGGATGGGGCACGAAACCATGTAAATTGTATGGTTTTCGGATACCCTCCTCGCTCAGGCGGGGCCTCCCTGGAGGGGTGGGAGTGGCACGAAACCATGTAAGTAGTATGGTTTTCGGATACCCTCCTCGCTCAGGCTGGGCCTCCCTGGAGAGGTGGGAGGGGCACGAAACCATGTAAATAGCATGGTTTTCGGATACCCTCCTCGCTCAGGCGGGGCCTCCCTGGAGGCGTGGGAGGGGCATGAAACCATGTGAATAATATTGTTGTCCGATACCCTCCTTGCTCAGGCGGGGCCTCCCTGGAAGGGTGGGAGGGGCACGAAACCATGTAAATAGTATGGTTTTCCGATACCCTCCTCGCTCAGGGGGGGCCTCCCTGGAGGGTGGGAGGGGCACGAAACAATGTAGATAGTATGGTTTTCGGAGACCCTCCTCGCTCGAGAGGTGGGAGGGGCACGAAACCATGTAAATAGTATGGTTTTCGGATACCCTCCTCGCTCAGGCGGGGCCTCCCTGGAGGGGTGGGAGGGGCACGAAACCATGTAAATAGTATGGTTTTCCGATACCCTCCTCGCTCAGGCGGGGCCTCCCTGGAGGGGTGGGAGGGGCACGAAACCATGTAAATAGTATGGTTTTCCGATACCCTCCTCGCTCAGGCGGGGCCTCCCTGGAGGGGTGGGAGGGGCACGAAACCATGTAAGTAGTATGGTTTTCGGATGGACCCTCGGGGTGGGAGGGGCGAAACCATGTATAGTATGGTATTCCGATACCCTCCTCGCTCAGGCGGGGCCTCCCTGGAGGGGTGGGAGGGGCACGAAACCATGTAAGTGATTTTCGGTATGGAGTGGTATGGAATGGTATGGTAGGTATGGTATGGTACGGTATGGTATGATATGGTATGGTATGGTACTGGAGGTATGGTATGGTATGGTACGGTGTGGCATTGGTGTGATATGGTATGGTATGCTATGGTACGCCATGGTATGGTATGGTACGGTATGGTACGTATGGTGTGGTATGGTATGGTATGTGTGGTAGGAACTATGGTATGGTATGGTGTGTGTGGTTGGAATAATATTGTGCTGTATGGAAGATGGAGCGGGAGGTGGGTGGGAAGGAGAGGGTGTTCTGGGAAAACAAGAACTCCACTCAGGATGTGGGGAAAAATGCCCTTTGAAAATGGAAACGGCAAAAAAACGGCGACTGGAAACGGCTAAAAATCGGCTCCAGGACTCGAACTGGAGCCAGAACCGGTCAAAAAACGGCGACGGAACCGGTAAAACAACGGCGTCGGAACCGGCAAAAAAACGGCAAAACGGAACCAGTAACAAAACGGCCCTGTCGTTTCCAGGGCCCACTAGGAGGCCACCCCAGCTGGCGGATACACCAGCTAGCGGACAATGGGGGGCCCAAAGATATACACCACCACCACCTCCCTCACCCCCTCCCTCTCCCAGGCAAGAGGAGAGGAGGAGGAGGCGTGGTGGTGGTGTATACTCTTTGGGCCCCCCAGACAGGACACCCCATCTGGCCGAA